GGTCGGTAGGAAACGCCTGTAAAACGATAGCCACTTCAATCCCGTCCCGGCGTTTTGCTCGGTCCGCTTCCTTCAGCAGAAAAGCAGCCCCCAATTTTCTTTTTGTTTTTTTTTCTTAAAACTATTGCCAACTTTGGAAGACTTAAAAAGAAGGTTGTTGGTTTTTTCCCCCTCATGCCCAGATCTGGGTGTTTTCCTGTCTGCAAAAGGAGGCCTTTCGAAGTCACAAATAACAGAATGCTTGCAAAATAACGAAGAGATCAGAAAGCCAGCTTGCTGCCCCTTGCCAAATACAGCCAGTCCTCGACTTATTGCTGCAAAGAGAAAGGTGGGCCTCCGTTGTGGTCGTGGCAGACACACAGCTTGTCCGAACTCTTCTGGAAAAACCTCCCAGTGTTGGGAGGATCCCCACAATAAATGGTATACGGTCTCCTGCTTAGGTGTGTGTGTGTGGGGGGGGGTTGGACTAGATGACCTGCAAGGTCCCTTCTGGCTCATGATTATCTGAGAGAATCTGAGAGAATCTTTGCCGCAGAAGATGGGGAAGGCCGGGGAACGGAAGGGAGCCAACGGGACAAATGCTCGGCCAAACCGAAGAAGGTTGAGCCCACTTAATTATATGGCCAAACCCAACCGCTAAGTACATAGCAGGCCGGCGAGTCTAACAAGCCAAGGTCTGCGTTGGGTGCCCAGGGAAGCAAAATCCCAGGGAGCTTGCCAAAGCTGGAATACTGGGATGGGGAGGGATCTGAGGAGGGGCTCTGGGCCCCACACACGAGGAGGAAGGGAGGGGTGTGCGTGGGGGGGACAGCCGGGCTGATCATCTTTCCAGATTTCTTACATGCTCGCACTCATATGCCGGCACCCAGAAGGCAATGCGCGCCTCCCCGTGCTCCCTACACATGCGTGCGCAAACCCCACTGACCCCCAACCCCTACCGGCCCCTTACCTGCGCTGCGCCTCACAGCTGATTTTTGGCCGGTTTGAGGCCTTTTTCGGCCTCCCAGAGGCTCGAGGAAGGCTTCTGCAGGCCAAACACTAGGCCCGTTTCATCACTTCCAGTATTTCCAGAAAAACAGGAAATGATGAAACGGGCCTAGTTTTCGTCCTGAAAAGCCTGCAGAAGCCTTCCTCAAGCCTCTGGAAGGCCGAAAAAGGCCTCAAACCAGCCAAAAATCAGCTGAGGCGCGCACATGCGCAGTAAGTTTGCCTGCAGCTCGTGTGCCGGCACAAATGGCTCTGCGTGCCATCGGTTCGCCATCACGTCCCTAGATCATTTCAGACCAATGGCTGTCCAGCCTCTTCTTAAAACCTCCAGTGATGGGAGTATTCACAATTAGCAGTTCCACTGGCTGATTGTTCTCTCGCTGTCAGGAAATTTCTTCTTAGTTCTGGGTGGCTTCTCTCCTTGAAGAGTTTCCATCCGTTGCTTCCTGTCCTGCTTTCAAATGCTTTGGAGAACAGGTTGACCCTCTCTTCTCTAGGACAGCCAGTCGGTTCAACTACTGGTTTGGTGAACCAAATGCAAAGATGGTTATCATGTCACCCCCTAGTTCTTCTTTTCATTAAACTAGAGTAGAATAGAATAGTTGGAAGGGACCTTGGAGGTCTTCTAGTCCAGCCCAGGAGATCCTATACCATTTCAGACACGTTGACTGCCCAATCTCTTCTTAAAAACCTCCAGCGACGGAGCAGCCACAACTTCTGGTGGCAAGCCGTTCCATTGGCTAATTTTGCTCACTGCGTTTCTTCTTAGTTCCAGGTTGCTTCTCTCCTGGGTTAGTTTCAGGGGTGGGAGTCAAAAATTGCTGGGTATGCGTGGCCACGATGGGTGTGGCCTGCCAAAACTTCCGGGAGGGCTGTTTTCTGCCTTCCCCAGAGTCCGGAGGCTTTCCTCAGGCCTCTGGGGGGTGGAAGGGGGGAAAAAACGGCCTCCCCCGGGCTCCGGAAGCCAGAAACAGGCCCACTTCCGATTCGGCCTGGTTTTTCACCTGCTCAGAGCCTTCACGCAGAACCTGCACTTACCTGCATCCAAAACAGGCCGCGCGGAGACTCCTGGGAGGGGCGGGCTGGGCGGGGCCAGCCAGTCGGTTCAACTACTGGTTTGGTGAACCAAATGCAAATTTAACATCCGGTTAGGCCGAACTGGTTGGTTAGTTTCCCACCCCTGGTTAGTTTCCACCCGTTGCTTCTTGTCCTGCCTTTGGAGAATAGGTTGACCCCCCCTCCTCCTTCTTTGGGGGAGCCCCCTCAAATAGTGGAATTCTGCTCTATGTCTCCTGCCCCACGTCCCCCCTTCTTTTCCCTATGAAAATCCTGAAGAGAGGAACGATTCCGGGCTTTGCTCTAATGACCCCCAATCAAAATGCATTTTTGAGAGGAAACCTGCATTCGATTCCTCCAGAGCAGCAAAGAAAGAGAGGAAAGGAGGAAAAATCCCAAATTAAGGGGTCGGAGTTGGGCTGCCAGTGATGGAGTTCCGGGGGGGGGGGGGATGTCTATCACAGGTAGCCCTCGACTTACTTACGACCACAAAGTTACAACTCTTAACCACTGCTGGTTAGTCCTGGTTTCCTTTGCCCTCCCTGGATTGAACCACATACCACCACCACCCCGGCCTCCCCCCCGCTTGATTCCGGGGTCCCCCAAAAGATGAGGAGAGAGCCCAAAGTGGAGCTGTGAAGACTTTTTATTGCACGAAGAGGGGGGTGGAAAATCTGTACATTCAGTTCAAATGCAGCCCTTGGCAAAGGCCAGACAAGGAATTCACACGCCTTCCTTTAACTACAGTTGGGAAGGAAGGAAGGAAGGAAGGAAGGAAGGAAGGAAGGAAGGAGAGAAGGAGTGGTGAAGAAGTTGGAGGGGAGGAAGGGAAGGAGGGAGGGAAGGAAAGAAGGAGTGGTGAAGAAGATGGAGGGAGGAAAGGAAGGAAGGAAGGAGAGGAGAAGGAGTGGTGAAGAAGTTGGATGGGAGGGAGGAGGGGAAGGAAAGAGAGAAGGAGGGGTGAAGAAATTGTAGGGGAGGGAGGGAGGGAAGGAAGGTGGGAAAGAGGAGTGGTGAAGAAGTTGGAGGGGAGGAAGGGAAGGAGGGAAGGAAGGAGAGGAGAAGGAGTGGTGAAGAAGTTGGAGGGGAGGGAGGGAAGAAGGGAGGGAGGAAGGGAAGGAAGGAAAGAGAGAAGGAGTGGCAAAGAAGTTGTAGGAGGGAGGGAGGGAAGAAAGGAAAGAGAGAAGGAGTGGTGGAGAAGTTGTAGGGGAGGGAGGGAAGGAATGGAAGAGAGAAGGAGTGAAGAAGTTGGAGGGGAGGGAGGGAGCAGAGAAAAGAACAGAGAGGAGAAGGGAAGGAAGTAATGAAGGAAAGAAGGAAAGAAGGGGAGAGGAGAGGAAAGGAAGGAGAGGGAAGGAAGAAAATAGTGAATGAAAGAAGGAAGGAGAGGAAAGGAAAATAGTGAATGAAAGAAGGAAGGGAAGGGTGGAAGAAAGAAATAGTGAATGAAAGAAGGGAGGAAGAGAGGAGAGGGAAGGAAAGAAACAGTGAATGTACGAAGGGAGGAAAGGAAGGAAATAGTGAAGGAATGAAAGGAAGGGAGGGAGGAGAGGGAAGGAAAAAACAAAATACTGAAGGAATGAAAGAGGGAAGGAAGGAAAAGGGAGGCCAAGGAAAATAAATAGAAGAGAAGAAAAGGGGAGGAAGGAAAGACGGACAGACTGTGGACTACAAGAGACACAGAAGAGCCCCAGAAAGTGGACCCTCTCCCAGTTGGATTGGGGATGTGAACGAAGAGGAATGGAAATCTAAGTCATGGATAGCACCATTTTGGGGTGGGGGCCGATGCTGGGAAGACGAAATCAGGAGCAAACCCCGCCCCATTCTACAGGAACCTCTACAGGTTAAGGTGTACAGGTGAAAGGAAGGACCGGACAGGACAACTCAGAAGATATATATAGATATAGATATATATATATATATTTGGGAGGGTAGGAGGTTAGTCCTATCACAGCTTTCAAAAAATAATAATAATTCACAGTAAATTGAACCGGAAGCACGCCGTGCCATCCAAGACAGTGCGGTGGGAATGGGGGGTGGGGGGGGGGGGGGGAGAAAGGGAAGATTAAACTCCAAGGAGACTCGAGTTATATAACCCCAACCCTGCCTGGAAGCCACTTGCAATTATTGCATTTTATCGGGAGGTTTTTGCCCCACCCGCCCTCCTTTCTCCCCCCCGCCCACTGAAGACCCCGGAGGG